CTTATTGTCCCTCTCTCCTACGAAGGCGTCCCGCCTGCTAGTGGTCAGTGTAAATCCCTCTCTCCAGGCCCATTACCCCAACGGCCCCAAGTCCCAGGCAGGCAGGGGAGGGCAAGAATCTTTCCATGTTTTCTAGTTCCCCCTGACAAGGGTTAAAACCCCAAACCCCGTGACACCTGAGCACACGTGGATGCCCGCACCCCCCCACCCCCCCACCCCGCCCACTGCCCAGAGACAAACCTCCTCCACCAGCCCAGCTAGCCCAACCCCCAGCTCCCAGAATAGCCTGCGGCCAGGTCTGGCCTGTGGTAAACAGCCCCGGAGCCTCCCTGGTGGGTCTGGGATGAGTCATCCTTAGGAAAACACAGGGATGTGACTGGGACCTGAGCTGGTCGGCGGGTCCCTCCAGGTCTCCTTCCTCCACTCCAGGCTGGACACGGGCCGGCCAGGTACAGAGGGGCTGCAGTGGGGAAGGCAGGCTTGGTGTCCCAGAAGGAGGAGGCATGGCAGTTTGCAGACTATGCTGCTCCCCTTTCTACCACCCCCAACTCAGGAAGGAGGGTCCTGGGCCCTCCTGGAATGTTCCCCAGCCCTGCAGGACAACTGTCACCCTGCAGCTGCCGGCCCACAGGTCCTGGGACGGTCATCCCCCTCCCGCCCCAACGCACGCTCGAACTTCATGGCGCAAGTCTCTTCCCGGCCTGTCCCAGGTTTCCAGGTGCCATTTCACAGGTGCCACTGGATTAGGCTCCAGTGTGGTCCCGCACCCCTCCCATGACACCCACAAGCGAGTGTGCGCACTTCTGCCCTTCTGCGCCAAGGCAGCCACTGCCCTGTTCTCCCGTCTCGTCGCCACCGGCAGCCCTTTCTGCTTGAAAAGACTAACAGAGCCCCCTGAGCCAGGCCCACTGGTGGCTCCCCACACCCTGGGGAGATTGTGGGTGGAAGGAGCCCCTGGCACGTGGGAGAACCAGGGGCCCTAAACGGGGAAGAGGCAGGTGGCGTGTCCCCTGTCTGTCCCCAGAGACCTCACCTATCTCTGCCTGGAACACTCCTCACTGGGAACCCCCATTTGTCCTCTGGCCCAGTCCCAGCACCTCCTGTGAGGTGCACCCACCCCTGCAGCCCCAGTATCCTCCTCCTGTACTTGCAGGGCAGCTGCTGAGCCTCGAGCCGGGGCCTCACATCGGATTTCCTTGGATAAGCCCAGGTGAGGTCACACAGTGGAGAAAGTGGCTCCTGTCCAGGACCCTCAACAAACACAAGGCTCAGCATCCAGGTGACCCCACTCAGGACCAGGGCCGGTCCTGCCAAGGACTCCAGCCCCACAGACCTCCAAGTTGCTTATTCCCTCCCATGCAGGTTTCTCGTCAAATGTCCTTTTCTCAGGGGCCGTCCCCGTGTACATAGCAGTCCCCTCACCCAGAACATGCATTATTCCCTCTCTGTGGTACCAACTTTATTTTTCTACGTAATTCCTGGCACCACCTGACATATTTAACACTGGTTTATTGGAGCGCCAGCCTTTGGGAGGAAAAAGCTCCCATTGCTATTACTCCTCAGCCTTGGATGAGGCCGCATCTAACCTCCTGGTGCCCTTCTGGGAGTAACCCCACCTGTCCTGGCCTCTGCCCAGGGACAGTACAGCAGAGACCTAAGGGAGCCTCGGACCCTGTGCATTTGCGTGCATGTGTGTGTACCTGTGTGTATGTCTCTGAGTGTGTGTGTGTATTTGTCTGTGGCTGTGCCTCTCTGTGTGTGCATGTGTATGTGTGCGTCTGTGCACGTCTGTGTGTGTATGTGTATATTTCCTTGGATGAGTCCATTAAGCCAAATCAAATTACTTCTCAGAGCAAAATATAAGGAACCAGGCAGAAAGACCCGGCCAAGAGTTTTCCATACTCTGACCTCCTGTGGTGAGCGCTCTGTTTTCAAAGGCTTTTTTCACGTCACCTTCGCCTGTTGACACCTGACCCCAAGTTGGATGGTGGCTTGTGGTCCCTTCTTTGACACACGCCCTACATCTGCCCAGGGCACGGGTGTGAGCAAGGCACTGATCTTAGTGGAGCATGTGCATTTTAGGGGATACGAACCATAAATGAGAACAGAAGACGGTACAGTATCTTCACACGGTGATGGCGTTGCTGGGAAAATAATTAGAGTGGCGGGATGAGAGGAAGTGGGGTGAGACTAGTGAGACAATGATTTTCCAAGGTGATAGATGAGATAAAGCAAGAACTGTGCATGGGAGCCATCCAGGGGTGGGGTCCAAATAATATATGTCCCAAGAGAATGATGGGGGTGGGGGGAGAGGTAAGCTAAGTGCACAGGGGGCCCCAGTGAGGCCCCCACTCTTAATGTCCACGGTCCATGGGATCCGCCCACCCCACGGACACTGAACATGGGAGGCCTGGGTTGGGTGGGTGGGGCGCTGGAGCCTATAGAACCCCCAGGCCGAGGCAGACGCCGTGGTGACCACAGACCTAAGCTCCTTCCTGCCGGGTTCCCCCTCCCCCAGATGGGGGTTGGTGCTTCTCAACCTCCATCTCAGTTTGCACAGCATCTCCTTGGCCTCTCTGAGTAACCCTTGTCCAAAGTTACCTCTTCTGCACACAAATGGTGCTGTCAGTGTGAGAGGGAGGGAGGGAGGAGCTCCATCTCCAGGGGATGAAAATGCCCCAAATGCTCCATTTCCAGTCAAGCCCACCTTCACCCTCTGGTCCCCACCCACCCGCAGCCCTGGCCCCAACACATCCTCCAGATCCAGTTCCAGGAGGGCCCAGCCCTTGACTTACTTCAGATGGCCTCAGAAACATCTATTTCACTGACTTGCTGGGCTGGGACTCCCCTCCTTCACCCCAAGTATCTAATGGGCGCCTTTTGAATGTCAGGCACTGGGCCAGGCACTGAGATTCAATGGTGAGTCTCAGGGAAAATGGACTCTGAATCCATGCAAGAGAAAACTGCAGCCCTGGGAGGGCAGTACAGTGAGTCAGCGGGAGACCAGGGCTCCCACCCCAGGGCTCCCACCAGAGACTGGCCTCCCCTCAGTCCTGCCCGAGAGCCTTCGTCCTTGGAAACTTCAGCCCCTGAAGGGCAGGGGGCAGTGAGCCTGGTGGTAGGTGTGTTTGTGACGTCTCCTTTGGCCAGGTTCACTTACCTTCCCAACTATGGCTTTAGGCCGAAATGCACATTAGTATTCCCTACTCGGGGGCTTCCCTGCTGGCGCAGTGGTTAAGAATCCGCCTGCCAATGCAGGGGACACGGGTTCCAGCCCTGGTCCGGGAAGACCTCACGGGCCACGGAGTAACTAAGCCCGTGCGCCACAACTCCTGAAGCACGTGCGCCTAGAGCCCGAACTCGGCAACAAGAGAAACCACCGCAATGAGAAGCCCGCGCACCGCAACAAAGAGTAGCCCCCGCTCTCCGTAACTGGAGAAAGCCCGCGCGCAGCAACAAAGACCTAACGCAGTCGAAACTAAATAAATAAAATTAATTAATTTTAAAAAAAAATCCCTATTGCGGGCTGGGGGTCCAGAAGCTGTGTGGGCACAGAAGTACCACGCCCCTGGCTGTAGGTGGCCAATTTTGCGCATCTGGCGAGGCCAATTGATACACACACACACACACACACACACACACACACACACACACAAAGTCCCGCCCAAAGCGAGGGAGGTGCCGCCTCCCGCACACACCGGGCACCTCTCTGTGCCAAGCGAATTCTAACTGGGGCACCGGCGCCGCCATCGTTAAGGCGCAGGCGTGGTCCCCTCGAGGTGGGATGGGGCCCCAGCGTGCAGGAGCCTCGCCCCGGTGCGGGCCTCCCCTCCGGGTTTGGGCCAACACTCCGCTCCTCTCATCGTCTCCCGCGGTGGCGACCCCAACGCCCCCTCCTCCTCCCCTTCGCCGGCAGCCTGGGGCGCGGCAGCCGCCCAAGGCGGGGGCGTGGGGCATAAGGTCGCCGCCCAGAGGGAGCTCATCCGGCGGCGCAGACGCCCAGCGCCTCCGGGGAGGGACTTGGCCTGGGTTCTGGCCCTCGGCTTGTCGGGGAGGAGCCGAGAGGCTGCAGCTGGCGGCGGCCTGCCACGGGCGGGCCGAGGTCCTGGGCGCGGCAGCCAGGCCGGGGAGCCCTTCTCGGCAGAACCCGCAGCGCGGGATCAGCGCCGTCTGCTTTCCTCTCTGTCTTCTCTGGGCAAGCCGCGGGAAGAAAGCGCCCGCTCTTCAGCGGGCCGGGAGCTGCAGAGCATCGCGGGGCGCGGCCGAGGGGAGGAGAAAACAGAGGGAGCAGCGTAGGCCCGGGCTCGCGGGGCTGCGGCTCCGCCAATCTGCGGGCGCTGACGCGGGGGGCGGCTCCGCGGCGCTCGGATATCTGACCGCCCGCGGAGAGGCTCGGCTGTGCGGGGGCTGCGCTCCAGGGACGGCCGGTGCACCTGCCCGGGGTCTTCGCCGGACGCTCCGTGGGCCACCCCCCTTCTCCCGCCCCCTCCTCGGCCCCCGCGGCCCTGCGCCCTCATTCCCCTCCAGGTCCCCGCCTGCGGGCCGCAGCGTGAGAGAACCGAGCCCTGCCCGAAGGAGCCGCCCCTTCTCCGCCCGGCCGGCCCGGCGCCTAGCGCGGCCCACGGAGCAGCGCAAGAGACTGCGCCGAGCCTCGGATCGGATTGCGCCGCGCGGTCGCCTCCACCCCCCACCCCAGGCCGCCGCGCCTTGGCCGGGATGGGCCTAAGTGTCCGGCCCCTGCGCGCCTGATGAGCGCGGCCGCGGCCCCGGAGACCCAAGCGGGCCGCTACGTGCGCAGGGCCTCCCCGAGCTGCGCCCCCAGCTTCGCGGACGAGGGCCGCTGGGCCCGGCCGGCTGAGGGCGCGGCCGCTCCGGAGAGGCGAGAGGGAGCGTCCCCGAAATGGCCCGGCGAGCGGGCGCTTTGGCGGTGGGCGCCCTACGCGTGGGACAGCCCCGGGACGAGTAGCTGGCCGACGCCAGATGGACCTTGATCCGCGCCGCGGCACCGCGTTCGTGCCAAGCCAAGACTAGAAGGGCACGGGCGGAGCGCGCTCTGGGGGCGCCGGAGTTCCAGGCCCCGCGCGCCCGCCGGGCCGTGAAGATGATCTTGGTGCGCAGGTTCCGCGTGCTCATCCTGATGGCGTTCCTGGTGGCCTGCGCGCTGCACATCGTGCTGGATCTGCTGCCCAAGCTGGAGCGGAGCGGAGCGCAGCCCTCGGGGGAACCCGGCTGCTCCTGCGCGCAGCCCGCGGCCGAGGCGGCGGCACCCGGCTGGGCCCAGGCGCGCGGACGCCCGGGGGAGCCCCCGGCAGCAGCCTCCGCCGCCGGCGACGCGGGCTGGCCCAACAAGCACACACTGCGCATCCTGCAGGACTTCAGCTCCGACCCTTCCTCCAACCTCACGTCTCACTCGCTTGAGAAACTGCCACCCGCTGCCGAACCGGTCGAGGGCGCCTTGCCGGGGCAGGATCCCGGCGTCCTGCGACCCTTAGACCCCGGTCACCGGCCGCTGCTCAGAGACCCCGGTCCGCGTGGACCTGTGCCGCCCCCCGGCCCGAGCGGGGACGGCTCCCTCCTGGCCAGGCTGTTCCAGCACCCACTGTACCAGGTAGCCATTCCGCCGCTAACGGAGGACGATGTCCTCTTCAACGTGAACAGTGACATCAGGTTCAACCCCAAGGCGGCGGCAGCGGAGAACCCAGACTGGTGAGTGGGGCTGCGGCTGCTGAGGTGGGTGCTGGCAGGCCCGACACCCAAGGCAGCCACGCGCCCCTTGAGAATGAAGATCCACCCCAGAAAGTGCCCTTGCACATCCAAGGCGCTGTGTAAAGAGGCTCAGGGTCAGAGACTCGCAGAGGGCGTGGACCCCCAAGGCAGAGGCCCCAGGAAGGGGAGCTTTGTGGGGCGGGCAGCGTGCAGGCTTTGGGCACTGCCTTTGTCTCCAGAATGACTGCCTCCCTGAGAAGGGCTGCTGGGTGCTTTGGGAGCTGTTTCCTGTGGCCACTGACCTGGAAGGCAGACATGGCAGGCAGGAGCCGGGAAGAGTGAGTTCTGCATTTACAGGAAAGCAGTGCTGGCCTGCGAGGCCCTGGTCACTGGCTCACAAAGGGACTCGGGCAGTGAGTGAAGGTGCTTCCTTGGGAAGCCGCTGCCTGCCGGTGCTTTTGGCAACACCGCTCTGGTGGACGTGTCAGGAAGGTCTGGAGAGGCCTCATGAGCCTTGTAAACCAGTCCCTGAGAAAACATTAGCAGAGGGGCATGCTGGCCTCCATGAGGCATAACCAAGGGGTTCTCCCCCTGCCCAGGCTGCAAGGGGGTGACAGCTTCCTAAAAGGCGAGTAGCATCCCCCAGGAGCATCTCTTTGAACTGTCCTGCTTTAAACCCCTCCCCCCAAGGCCCTCCTCAGCTATACAGATCAAAGTAAGCAGATGCTGCCGCCCTGGGTGGTGAAATATTAACCAGCAGCAAGGCCAGGATAAATAAGTACCTGCAGAGGTTACACAGGCAACAGAGGGGAAAGGCCAGGTTTCCAAAACATCTCATAAAATCCTTTCTCCTTTGCAGTTGGACCAGACCCAGTGTTTTCTGTCTAAACACACCAAGGTGTTTAGTGGCCTCTGAGCTTTGTCTGCTGGCCAGGTTCACGGAAATACTCAGAAATTTGAGAGGCAGAGCAGTGTGCTAGGCCTGGGCCTCTTTGTAGGAGAGACAGAGCCCAGAGCCAGTGGTCAGTGATGGGGCCCTTGGGCAGCTTCTCGTAACCCATCGTGTCCATTGTGGGGCAGAACTTGGGGCTGAAAAGGCCTCACTTGCAGGTGAATCAGCGCTTAGACAAGTTCCGCTTTTCCCTCCAGCAGCAAACAGGGCCTGTCCTCCCCCCAGACTGGCCCTTTGGCTCAAGAGGCAAGGATGGGCCACGTTGGCAGCAGGTCCTCGATTTGGGCCTCGGCTGGAGTGAGTGCCACTTTCCTCTCTCCCCACCCACGGCTGCTTCCTGAAAATCAAATTTAGCCTCTTGAATCATTGCTGTCCCAAAGCAGAGCACCCAGCGAAGGCTTCCTCCAGACTGGGCTCATCTGCCCCCAGGAAACCGGCAGCCCCCCGCACCCCAGGCTGACATCATGCTTGTCAGGCTGCTTCAGTGACCCTGGGACGGACGCGGCGGGGCTTAGCGCTGACGGTCTGCGTTTGGTCTGCTTTAGTTAGAGCTGTCTGTGGCGTCTCCCAAGGGTAAGTGAGAATTACAGGCCTTCAAATATGTTATTAGTTGGTGGAACAACAGCCACAGAAAAAGTGCGGACATCGCAGGGTCCTGTTTGAGTAGAGGCACCTCTGAATAAATCCATATTTGTTTGGATCCAAAGTGAAAACCTTGGCATCGATGCCAAGTCCCCCATCCATTTCGAGACCTTGCTGTTCTGTTCTTTCCCTGTTGACCTGGGTTACCTTCATTTGTGCAGGCCACACGAAGGTCCTGAGGATGAATTCCTACCCACAGGGGACACGGCCGTGGACTCCTATCCCAACTGGCTCAAATTCCACATCGGCATCAACCGCTATGAGTTGTACTCTCGACACAACCCAGCGGTGGAGGCCCTGCTGCGTGACCTTGGCGCCCAGAAGATCACCAGTGTTGGTAGGTGACCTCCCTGCCCGGCCAGCTCTCCTTGTTGGAGCATCACCTCGTGGGCGAGTTAAACTGGCAGCCTTCGCACAGGAGGCGCCTGCAGGCCTTCGATGCTGTCAGTATTTGGGGGCAGCGGGAGGCTGCCTTCTGCTGTTGCAGGATGAGCCTGGCAGGGCAAGACGCCACCCCCAGTCCTGTTGTTCTGCTGCTGGGGGTGCCCCACGGGTCCCCACCGCGGGTTAAGGAGAGGCACCCCTGGCAGCTGCAGGGAGATGCCTTGGAGAGCTCAGCCTCTTCTGGTTGTTTGGGGAGGCTCTGCCTCAGAGCCCACCAGGTGCTCCTGGGATTCGTGTGGGCGGGGAGTGACAAGGGCTCAGCTCTATTCAGGGCAGAGCCCCATACACTGAGTAGCTTGGAGGAGACATCTCTGAGTTCTTTGGGATCTGCTGAATCAGAAGTTTCAGGGCATCCAGTTACTGATTTCAGGAAAGTGTGTCGGCAGTGGTTTCTGAGTGTGGAGGTTTGATGCCATTGTTCTCAGGCCTGTAGGCAACTGTTTGTGAAGGTCCCGATGAGTCACTAATAGCTCCAAGGGCAGAGCCGGTGGGCAGAGGCCCTGGGTGGGAGGAACGGTCCCAGGAGGCGCAAAGGGTGGAGGGAGGCCCCAGGAGCATGCGTGCTGGGGGCAGGGGGTTTCAGGCACTGTCTTATTGGTGTCCGGGCCATCCTGAGGCTGAAGGGGCTCTGCTAACTCGGGCTGATGCCAGGGAGCTGGGAGTTGCCTGCGAGGCTGGCGCCTGGGTTTCCAGAGCTCTTTAGAGGCTGTGTTGGGTGTCTCCACCCGGTGCTGAGCTGTTTGGCAGCACCCTTCTCCCTAGCATATGGTTGTGCACCCTGAGAGAGAACTCGCCGGGGCACGACGGTGGTCTCCCCTCCTTCTTGCTGCCCAGGAGGAATCTGAGTGCCTCCCGGCCCCCAGCCCCACCCAGTCGTCCTGCTGTGCTGGAAGGCAATCTGTACGGACGAAGAGGACTGCATGGGAGAGGCCACAGCCGGGGTGTCCCCTTCTCTCCTGAGTAGACGAGGTTGTTCGAGAAACATTCAGTGCGATGACCGTTTGTCGTCTGTTCAGCGGATTCTCTTGAGCACCTCCTGCATCTCAGGGCCCCTTTCCGGGCCGTGGGAGTTGGGGGTGAATCCAGCCTCAACAGGCTTCTGCTGCGTCCTGACCTGCACATGCCGATGGACAGATAAAGTCGAGAGAGATTAGCGAGGCGGCGACCTCCACCTGGGAGGACCAGGTCTTGAATGGGGCGAAGGCTTCCACGATGGAAGGCGGCAGGGAGCGTGGGCCTTTTGGGAAAATGACAACAGCGTTTTAAAATTGGGGTTTAGGGAAGTGCAGCATTCATGCTTGCAGGCTGCTGTCCGCCCCAGTCTCCCATCTGTCAAGTGGGCTCAGGCACGTTGCATCTTATTTCAAGAAGATGGACAGTGCACCCAGGCTTGTACAGTATTAACTCGGGCTTTGTGCAGGGTCTTGGTTAGAGGCAGGGCTGCAAGGATCCCACCGGCCAGACAGGCTCACCATACCCCTCAGGGGACAGACAGCCTCCCAGCTCTCACTGGACGTTGCCCTGTGCAGAGAGCAGAGCCCAGGAGCCTAGGGAGCCGCTGGAGGCCGAGGACAGGCCTCGGGGGCTCACAGGCAGCTTTGCCGGCCCTGAGCACCCTCCTCCCCCGTTCTCCCCGGGGCCTGGCCTTGGGGCACCCCCACCCACTTTGGTCCAACTGTCCTGGGCAGTGGTGCCTAGGCTGCCTGACGTCCCAGAGTTCTGGCTTGCTCTGCGCCTGGCAGGGTGACCTGGGGTGAGTGCCTGCCCATCTGTGTCCTGTGGGCTGTTTGAGCTGATCTCACCCGCTGGACTACCCTGGCCTAGGTGGTCCTAATCCAGCATGTTCCTTGGGCCCGTGGGCCGGTCAGAGCCCAGGCTGGCATTCACAGGTGCCTGACGAGCACGGGAAGGTTGACTTGGTGGGACCCCGGGTATCATCACCCACAGCGAACAGCAGGCCTGGTGTGTCCCGGCTCCCCCAGTCACGAGTCAGCGTGACTCTGGGCAGATGGGTTAACTTCTGTGGGCCTCCCCGTGTCTCCTGTGGATCACAGACGTGGTCATATCCTCGACCCTGTAATCTCCAGCTTGCAAATCTGAAATCATAACCCATTTGACAGCAAAACCCGACCCAACATGAACGGACATGGAGGCAAAGCCTAAAATGAGAGACTCTTTATAAATCCTTGTTTTTCTTACTTGGAGTGAATGTTCCCATGGAGTGCATTTAATTCCGGGGTTCTCCCCCGACCCACTTAGGGTTACAGGATCTGTGGGATGGATACACCACCTGCAACTCTTGTCATCTGAAATTTTCAAAACCCCTGAACACTTCTGCCCCAGAGATTTTGAAGATGGGTGTGGACCCATGAAACCTGCCTCACAGGGCTGTTGAGAGGTGTTGGTGAGGAAGAGGTGGGAGCAGAGGCTAGGCTGCGTCCCCGCCCGTTACCTCTGCGTGGGGCGGCCAGCACTGGGCAAGCTGGAGCCTGCTGAAGGCCTCCACCGGACGCTCAGCCCCACTGTATGCGGCCTTGTGCCTGGAGGTGCTCCCAGCAAGTTCACACTTGAGAGGAGGCCCCTCTTCCTGAGGAAGCAGGACATCTCGCCTGGAGCCCAGTGGAGCCTCCGGGAGCATGGCTGCAAGTGTCCAGGCCCAGGCTCCTGCTGGGCGGGGAGCAGGGGAGGGGCTGGCCCGGCCAGGCTGCAGGCGTCCCCGGGGAATGCACACCTCCCCGGGGGGTGTCTGCCCCCACATCCAGCTGGTCATTTTTGTTGGACACCCAGCTGCCGAGACAGCAGCCTCTGACTGGGCCCTTGGCTTAGCAGAGCCACTGGGTGGGTTTGCAGACCGGAGTCCCTGGACAAGAGCAAGAGCTGTCTGCTGCTGGAGGCCCTGCCCCTGGTCCTGCTGCAACCTGGGGGGGTGCAGCCCTCGGAGGCCCCTTGGGAGGAGTCCGGGTTCAGCA